GGCAAGAGGACAAGGCAGGAGGAAAGGGGTGGAGGTAGGGCTGTGCCCAGAACAGGGGGCTCAGCTGTGGACTGGTGAAGAATGCAGTGGCAGTGGACACTGCAGACAGAGTAGGGATATATCATAGAAGGTCTTAAGCGAAAACAGAGGAGTGTAGACGGGGAGAATGTGTGAACAACAAGTGACTGAAGGAGGCCCTGGAGGCAGACACGCTCTGGGCTCCAGCCCCTGAGTTCCTGCCTCCCGCAGATGCAAGAGTGAAGCAAACCGAACAGGGATAAGTTTCCCCTGCACAGGAGTACAAGGGCTTACAGAAAAGTCCAGAAACTGGTGCTCCGTCATAGGGCCAGGACGAGGGTGAAAGAAATGAGACATACCCTCTCGGGTGCAACATTTAAGGGAGGGCCAAAAAACTCAGTCATGATATTTTTATTGCATAATATTTTAATGCAGTATTTTAAAATAACAAAAATTAATGCAAAAACCTATGATGAACAAAATATCACACATGAAGAAACAAAACAATGACAGGATAAAACCCTATACTTGCTCAACATAACCTTACTGGCTTCACCCCAATCCTGGCCATAATGAAACACAGCTTCTGGACTTTTCTGCAAGCCTTCACGCTTTCTTGGATGTGAATACAGCATCTTCAGGGCTTAAAACAAAACCAGTGGTGATTCCCATGTTCCCTGACTTCTTAGGGGACAAACAACGCCTTCTCATGCAGTTGGAGGACATTGTCAGGCTGACTTCTCTGACTCAGGGCAAGGGAAATAATCAAGATAGCTAAATAGGATGGCGCTAGCAAGCTAGCAATGGAGCTAGCAAGAGGTCCAACTTCATATTACAATCCAACCGAAGTTGCTCTTTGATGCAGACTCCTACACCTCATGCATTCGTTACCTTTCCCACTCTACAAACTCTCTGGTCACTCATCTCTATATCCACTGATTCATCCTTCCACCCATCCCCATCTATCCATCCAATCCATCCACCCATCCATCCGTCAGTGAGGCTTCTTCTGACCCTGCCTCCATTTATTTTTTTTTAATTATTGTTTTTTTTTGTTTTTTTGCAGTACGCGGGCCTCTCACTGTTCTGGCCTCTCCCGTTGCGGGGCACAGGCTCCAGACACACAGGCCCAGCAGCCACGGCTCACGGGCCCAGCCGCTCCGCGGCATGTGGGATCCTCCCGGACCGGGGCGCGAACCCGTGTCTCCTGCATCGGCAGGTGGACTCTCAACCACTGCGCCACCAGGGAAGCCCCAACCCATCCATCCCATTCATCCATCCATCCATCATTCATCCTTCCATCTTTCCAACCAAGCATCCATTTAGTCTCTCAACCATAAAGCCATTTCCCCAAATATCCATCCATCCCTACTTCCATCCATTCATCCATTTATGCATCCTTACAGACCGTCATCCACCCAAACCACTTAACCAAACCTCTGCTTACCTACTATGTAAAATCAGCATGTGGGTGTGAAAAGAGCTCCATCACCTACCAGCAGACCTACTTAACTTCTCCAAATCTAATTTCTTTATCAAGAAAGTGGCTGTGTGCATTCTCAAAAACCTTCACAGGGCTGTTATGAGCATTAAAGAACAAAATCCCTGTAAATGGTAGTTATTGTAAATATTACATTATTATGGCAATTATTATTATTATTACAAGATGCTAGAGGTAGAGGGCAGAAATATAATGAATCTGGTGAGGGGCCCAGTTTTCCTGCCAGGATGCTGACTCTGACAAGTGATCTGGGAAACCAGTTAAAGCCGTAGGTAATAGCTGGGGAGGGGATAATGTTCTGAGGGGAAGAGGGGAATGACCAGCAGATTTGGCCTAAAGAAAAAGGATCAGTGGAGGTGGGGTGGGCGATAATTCCTAGAACAGTAAGAAGGAGGCGCTGACTGAGGATTCCAGGAGCTGCGGTTGGTTGGATGCCTGAGCTCTGTTGATGCGTCAGGGAACTCTAGGCCTGGACAATCAGGAAGGCAGGCAGGCCTCCAGGCTCAGTTTCATTCACCTGCTTCCGTGGAGCAGCTGCCCACTCCTGTGGAGAACTCTGGACTCAGTTAGCCAGGCGGTCAAACCCCAGCTCTCTTACTGATTAGCTGTGGGACCACAGATGAGTTACTTAAGTGTCTCAGTCTCCTCATCTATGTCCTGGGGGAAAACATCAATAGAATTAAGAAAGTTCATTCATGTAAAGCGCTCGACACTGAGTCTAACACATCCCTAGAGGAGATAATGACTCCTGGGTGTGGAGGATAAGACCTGCTCTCCCCTCTTGCCCTCCCCAGACTCCAGAAGTGCAAAAATGGGGCACAGGAGCCCGAGACCAGGCCCAGCCCTCTATCACCAGAGACACCAGTCAGCTTGAGCACTTCACCTGATGTACTGGTTTCCTATTGCTGCAGACCAGATTACTACAAACTTAAGAGGCTTAAAACAATGCAAATTTATTACCTCACAGGTAGAGAGGTCGGAAGTCCACGTGGAGGGACTTCCCCGGCAGTCCAGCAGTTAAGACCCCCATGCTTCCACTGCAGGGGGCACAGTTTCGTCCCCTGGTCGGGGAGCTAAGATCCTGTTTGCCACGTGGTGTGCGCGGAAAAAAAAAAAAGTCCATGTGGATTTGGCTGGTTCCTCTGCTCCAGGTCTCACACAGCTGAAAGCAAGGGGTCAGCAAGGCTGCCTTCCTTTCCGGCGGATGCCGCAGGACGAATCTGCTTCCAAGCTGATTGAGGTCGTTGGCAGAATTCAGCTCCATGTGGTTGTGGGGCTGAGGTCTCCGTTTCCTTACTGGCCGTGGGCTGGGGTCATTCTCAGCTTCTAGAGGCCACTCACAGTCCTTGGCTCAGGGCCCCCGTCAAAGCCAGCTATGGTGGGTAGAGTCCTTCTCGTGGTTCAAAGAGCTCTGACCTCCCTCTGCCTCATCTCTCTGAGCCTCCCACTTTCCTCTTCTGCTCTGAATGGCCACTGTGATTACATCAGTACCTCTCAGCTAATACAGGATGATCCCCCCAAATCAGCTGATTTGAAGCCTAATTCCACCTGCAAATTCCCTGCCCAGCAGTCTGTAGATTGTGTTCGATCAAATAACTGAGCGATGGAAACTAGAATTCTGCCCACCATCCCTGGCTCGGCACTCTGTGTCCAGCACCAGTCCTCAACCTCCCCTCTGTGGGAATACAGAGGACCAAGACTGCAGAGAAACCCTCACAGAGGTGACGCCCGGCTGGAGCCATAGGAGTAGATGAACTCACCAAGAAAGTGGCTGCAGGGAGCGAAGGACGGAGAGAGAGCCCAAGACTGAGCCCGTATTTGGGGTGAGTCACTATTATGGTGCCGTGCTTGGGTCCAGTGTTTTACCTATAACTAAACTGTAAAACTATGTTTAACCACTCTGGGAGGCAGGGCACCTACTCGCATTTTACAGATGAGGAAACCGAGGTCCTGTAGGGGGCGAACCACCGGCTTAGGTCACATGGTGAATCCGTAGGAGGACTAGAACCAAACATTAGTCTATAACTGACCAAGCCAGTGCCTTTCATATCTCAGGCCTTCTGGAATGAACCACAAAGGAGGGCCACTGGAGACCCAGCACAGGGAACGAGTTTGGGGTCTGAGGTCTAATACTAGGGCCTTCGGTCCTGCCACTCTCCTGGTGGCTCAGATGGGCAGAAAGATGAGATGGTTCCTGCACACCTGAAGGATAGGCCATCACAGAGGCTGGACACCTTTATCCCAAAGCCAGGGGCTTAACTTTCCAAATAGCAACCATGCAGGGTCTTTTCTCAGACATTTGCCTCAAAGCACACCCAAGGGGCATCCAGACAGGGGCTGATTTATAAACTGACAAAGATCTGCTTTATCTGAAAAGACAGTGTCTGCTGGCACTGCTAACCTTCATGCAGATTCAGTGCCCACCCTGAGCAGTCACCCTGAAGCCCTGTAAGTGCCGATTCCAGAGCCATACCCAGACCTGCCAGTCAAATCCCAAGACAGAACTCCAGGAATCTGCTTCCTCAGGAGCCTCACAGGCGGAGTCTGGGTGAGAACTAGGTTTCCTCCTGTCTGAGGGAAGGAGACATAAGACAGCTCAGATCTGACAGGCCAGCCCTAACAGGCTCTGACCACACCGAAATGCCTCGGGCTACAAAAGAGCAGGGTGAGCAAGTGCAGTAGGTCAAACCTGGGTTCAGACTCCCTCTGCACGCTTACTGGGAACGTTACCATCAACTCTCGGAGCCTCAGTTTCCCCATTTGTAAAATGGCAGGTCCACAACCTGCCACTTGGCAGGGTGATGACCTAAGTGAAGAACCTGGCCCCACTGGGTGCTGCAGGCAGGTCTGATCATCCTCTCCTCTCCCTTGAAGCAACCCCTGTGCATGTTTCCTTCATTGGAGATGTTCATTGTTTTATTTATCTCACACCCAGACTCTTATAAATCATATTCTTCCTTTTTCAGATTTGCAAAAAAGAAAAAATGGCTCTACAGCTGCTAATAGGACTTTCTCAGCAGAAAGACTTTAGACTTTCTTGGGGGGCCGGCGGGGGTAGGGGTGGAACAAGCTCATAAGAACTGCTATCTACTTCCTCTAGTTTAAGTTCATTCCAAGGCTCAAGGGACAACCAGGGGAATGTGATTAATGAGGGTGGGAGATGGGGGCTCTGGGGTGGGGACAGGCACCACCCTCTCCCATAGTGCCTGCCAGTCCTGACAGACCGGCAGATCTAGGACCCCGCCGCACGGAGCGGTCCAACTCTCCTCTACCCTTCCTTGCAGAGAAGGAGACAGGGGAGTGATGTGGCCAGGACGGGAGGTCGAAGGCGGTCCACTCCCACGAGCCTGGCGCTCCGGGCAGTCCTGCAAGGTCCCGCCGCCTCCCGCCTCCTCCCCCCGCCTCCCGCCTCCTCCCCCCGCCTCCCGCCTCCTCCCCCCGCCCCCCCCACTCCCGCCCGGCCCCGCCCCTCGCGCCCTCCCGCCCTCCCGAGGCGGCTTTTGGCTGCCTGCCCCGCGGCCTCCGGAGCCAGTGCGCCGGCCGAGTCGCAGCCACCGCCACAATGTGGGCCATCCTGCCGCTGCTCTGCGCCGGAGCCTGGCTCCTGGGCCCCACCCCCTGCGGCGCCGCCGACCTGGCAGTGAGCTCCCTAGGTACGGGGACGAGCGCCCCCGGAAAGGGGCCCGGCGGGTCGGAGACTCCGGGGACCTTGGGCGGGTGGGGACTCTGGGCTCGGGAGCAGCCGGGCAGCGCATTTCCCAGGCCTGAGGCTCAAGGGCTCTGCGGGTCGGGAACCGGGATCCAGCCAGGGTGACCTGTGTGACGGGGAGGGGGAGGTTTGGAGGGCGGGCGTCTCGCGTGAGCAGAGGAGCGGGTGGCTAGGTGCCCAGGGTCCCCCTTGCTCGGGGCACTGCAGAGACTAGTACGCCACAGCAGTCTGCGGCCCCTTCTGCCCTCCACCCCCCATCTGGAGACTTAGAGGACGTTGGTCTGCCCGTGCCGGAGGCAAGCAGGGACTTTCCAGCCTTTCCTAGTAGCTTTCAGGGACTTGCACATAGGGGATCCCCAGAGGTGCCTTGAGAGCCTGTCTGTACAATGGGCTGGACAGGCTGTTTGGAGGAGTGACTTGCACTTAGAGCAATAGCAGTTTTAGCCCCTGAAGACTGAGGGTGTTTGTTCCAAGGGCTCAGGGTGGTAGGGTCCAGCCCCAGGGCTCCCCTTTATGGCCAGGTGGGCTGTGAGTGGCCCAGCTTCAGGCTGCTCTTACACCCCTTCTATTGCTGGGGGTCCAGCCACCTCCCCCGGCTGAAGGCTCGCCCCTGCAGCCTCCCTCCTGCCCTGCCACTCCCCACCCTCAGCCTCTGCCCACTGCCCACAGGCTCTGACCTCAGCAGACCACCAGCCCCCTCACCCTGGTCGGGGGACAAATTGTAGCCAAAGAGCAGCCTGGGGATGGGACAGAGATCACTGGGGCTGAATCTTTTCGACCAGAATCTTGCCTTATTCCTCCCGACCCATTTGTCCAAGGAAGTCCCCCAGTCTTGCAGACCTGGGAGGACGCCCAGCTCCAGCTCAGTCCCAACCTAAGGAAAACCCAGCTGCCCCCAAGCCAGGGCTTTGCTTTACCCTGGCTGTGTCCTGCGTGGAGGAGGAGGGCTGGTGCTGGAAGCCGTCTTAACACCAAAGCAGGGCTTGGCAAACTTTTCCTTATGTAAAGGGCCAGATAGTAAATATTTCAGGCTTTGTGAACCACACAGGCTCTGTAGCAGCTACTTGTGTTGAAAGCAGCCAGAGGCAGTGGGCAAATGAATAAGTGGGTTGTATTCCCGGAAACTTTTACTTATAGACACTGAAATTTGAATTCAAATGATTTTAAGGTGCTACAAAATGTCATTTTTAAAAAACCATTTAAAAGTGTGAACACTTTTAGCTCGTGGGCCATACAAAAACAGGCTAATCCTTGTTCTAGATACTCCCACGTGGTCCCTGAGACCGGGCGGTACATAAAGGATGTGTGCTTTCTTCCAAAAGTCACAATGGATTGAAATGGATCTATCTGAGGTTGGGGTGAAAGGTCACCAGAGATCTTTCTCACCCAAGATCATCTCTGGCTTTTTCTTCTGCTGACCTCCAGCGAATGAGAACTAATACTGGGTTTTCACACCTGCTTGTTGCTTTTGAAACCTCTGGAGGCAAACACTGGTCAGTTGTCCTAAACTCCATCTGCCTTAAATCTGTCTTCCTCTGAAGCCATCCGCTGTAGCAGGACCTTAACTAGGATTTGCAATCCTCTGAAACCCCACGCAGGGCATATATTGGGGAAATGTGCATTTCTTCCCCAGGGAAAATGGCTCTATCACTTGCTTTCTGGAACAGATCTGTGACCCACAAGGGGAGATCCTAAATTCCATACAACAGTGATCTTCAAACTGTGGGGTGTGGATCAGTGGGGAAACACAAAAAAGTTGTAAGTGATACCGGCACAGACAGGGAATCTATTTCCAAACCCTTTACTTCCAAGAGAAGAGAGGACCTCACCAAAGAATCGGCTGCCGGGGTCCTAGAAATAATGTTGCGTAATAGGGCACCATGTGATTTGGGGCGTAGGAAGGAGTGCAAGGAATTGAGGGACATTGCTCTAAAAATTGCCTTCTGTTCCCAGAAGCAATAAGCAATGAACAATCCTGTTTATTTGAGCAGAATTTCTCAGGCCTTTTAAAGGGCTGAGACAAAGACCAGAATTAATGCTAACCCATTCAAGAAAATCGGTAATATTCACCCATGAATATATAAATCCATGGAGAGGGGGGTTGTTAGTAAAGTTTAATTTACCTCATTAAGAGATGCCTTTACAATACAAGTTTACTTTTTATGTTTAACAAATACTTTTCATAAGGTGTATTCAACATGGCTTATTCAGTGTTAATAATGATGGTGGTGATGATGACTTAATCCAGAATGAGTTTTTATAATAGTCAGAGGCATATGGGTCACAGGGAGTAACAGTAATTTCAATTTATACTTTCTGTTCTTGTTGTTGCGTAAAAGGATGCTAGAGCGACCAAGTATAAACAGATACTCCCTTAGGGTAAAATTCTGTGAGATGTGGGTGGAGATGGGAGTTCAAGGAGAAAAAGAAACTATCTTGAAATATCCAGCTCTTATAGAAGGGCTTGTTCATGTTACTGACGGTGGATATCAAATCATGATGGTATCGTGGATCTTTTTGGCCGGCTTTAAAAGAATGATGTAACAGTCTTATTTTTATGTGTCATTCTTTACAATAAGCTGGAATACATCCTTTGCAGCTATGAACATTTGAAGTGCAGTTTTTAGATAGCTTAAAAATGTACAAGGGTGGATATAGCAGGGGTCTACAAATGACTGGCCAGCCCGCTTTTTGTGAATAAAGTTTTATTGAAACAGTCACACCCCTTCGTTTTCACACACAAGGGCAGAGTTGAGTAGAGTTGTAACAGACTGTAGAGACAGCGAAGTCTAAGATATTTACCATCTGTCCCTTTAACAAAATTTTGCCCACACTTGGGATATATAGGTTTTGAAATTAACTTCTTCCTGAAGTATAGTGCAGAAAAAGGCACAAATCATTAAATATGCATTTTAATGAATTTTCATAATCTAAACATACTCGTGAAACCAGCACCCAGATGAAGACATAGAACATCACCAGCACCCCAGAAGCCCCCTCTGTACCCCCACTAAGGACCACCACTATCCTGACTTTTAATACCATAGGTTAATGGCATGTAGTTTTTCAAAATTAATTTGGAGTACAAAAGCGGTAAGAGTTTGAGTTCCTCTTCACGTTCAGCGTTAGATAACACCACTTTGGGTGCTTTAAATTTAGCCCAGTTCCCTAAAATGCAAATCAGTTCTGATGTGCCCTACTTGGCTATAGACGTTGCTGCGAGACACCCAGGCCTAATTTTTTTTTTTTTCTTTTTTCTTTTTGCAGAGAAGTTTCACTTTAAGTCATGGATGTTGCAGGTCAGTGTCCACCTTCTTTCTGAAGTTCTTCACTTCACTAAGTTTCCTGTTATCAAACGAAACTGTGCTGGATTTGAGATAATGAAGAGGGATTTTCCAACCCCATCTCCCTGGGTCTTTCCCAACTGGGAATCGGTCAAACACTGGGAACGATTCAGTTAAGTGAATTCCTTCCAAACAGTGGTCCCCAGTGCTGAAGTTGGCTAGCAGCCTTTCAAGCCTTGAGATTCATTTCTGTATTTTGTATTCACGTCACATTGTGTGTTTGCATCAAAATCAGTTGGAAAACGCTAGTGTGCGTATTTTTGAAACATGGTGATTTCTGCCGTTAACTTGACCCAGTACCAGTTGCGGCGTCCAGAGGTGACCTGCACTTGGCAGGTCCTTCACCAGGGCCTCTTGGTCTCTTGGCTGACTCTCTGGCAGCTGCATGGGCTTCATTCTGGCCACAGGTCCCCAGAGGCAGCGGGGGGGGAGGGGGGCGAGGGGGTTGCTTTGTAACTTCCTGACTTTCACCACAGAGACCCAGGGCAGCGTCCTGCCTGTGATACAGATTTGGCCTGAGAATCGTGGCAGAAAGAAAACCTGCAATCCTCCTCTTAGAAAACAAAACTGTCTCCCTCTGGTGAGCTGCATCCTATTTCTGTGACTTATTGCTGATGTGTTTTGTTTCAGCACCAAAAGAAATACAGCTCGGAGGAGTACCACCACAGGCTGCAGGCGTTTGTCAGCAACTGGAGGAAGATCAATGCCCACAACGCCGGGAACCACACATTCAAAAGTACCGTGGGGACACCTTTCCTGCGGGCTTCTCGCCCATGGCAGGAGGGAGCATCTCAGATGGGGAAGGAAATCAATGAGTGGCGCCACTGATTAAAGGGCCCACTAGGGGCTTGGGGTGGACGGAGCAGCAAGCCAGGCTCTGAAGCTGGGCTTGGCTGACCTCAGATTCTGGCTCCGCCATTATTTTCTGAGATTCAAGGGGTTGTAGCTTTAGGACGATGCTGGTACCCCTGGATGGTTGTGAAGTTTACGGGAGGTGTACAGAAGCCCTGCCCTGTTCCTGCCATCTGTGGGTCCAGCCCAGACGCTAAGCCCCTGGATTGCTGTCGGGGCAGCCTCTTTAGAGACGTGCCCTGGACTCATGAGCAGCCTCTTAGGACATCTGCCTTCCCTCCGGGTTAGTTTCGCTAGAAACACACACACACTGCGTGTATACTGAGGGCTCAGAAATGACGGCAGTGTCAGCCAAGTTGGTATTGTGGGCAAAAGCATGAGGTGGAAGGAAACCAGAGCTTGAATCTCACTTCTGCCCAGTATTGACTGTGTGACCCCGCTCTGAAGTTTTACTTGACTGTAAAGTAGAGAGGATAGCGCTCCCCTCGCGGGTTAGGAAGACTGAAGGAGGTGGCAGGTGGGCAGGCAGTTGGCTCAGGTGTGCTGGTTCTGTACCCTGCCGTTCACCAGACTCACTGATGGGGTATCTAAAAATCTGGGTGCCCAGGCCCCACCCCAGACCCATTACGTCTGCATCTCCAGGGTGCAGCCCAGACATTTGTACTGTGGAAAAACTCCCCCATGGGACTTCCCTGGTGGTCCAGTGGGTAAGACTCTGCACTCCCAATGCAGGGGACCCGGGTTCAATCCCTAGTCAGGGAACTAGATCCCGCATGCATGCCACAGCTAAGAGTCCTCATGCTGCAACTAAAAGATCCCACATGCCGCAGCAAAGATCCCGTGTGCCACAGCTAAAACCTGGCGCAGCCAAAATAAATCAATAAATATTACAAAAAAAAAAAGAAAGAAAAAGAAAGAGAAGGCAAGCTCCCCAGGGAATTCTGAAGCACAGTGAGGTTGACCTTGGTATATTGAATTACAGTTGAACAATGCAGGGTTAGAGGCACTGACCCTCTGCACCGCTGAGAATCTGAGTATAATGTATAGTCTGCCCTCCATATACACGGTTTCTCTGTATACCCAGTTCCTCTGTCTCCACGGTTCTGCATCCAAGGATCCAACCAACCTGGGATCACGTTGCACTGCAGTGTTTACTATTGAAAAAAATCTGTGTGTAAGTGCATCTGCCCAGTTCAAACCATGGGGTTCAAGGGTCAACTGTAAAATCAACTATACTTCACTAAAAAATAAATTTAAAAAAAACTTTTTTGAAAGGGTCAACTGTACACGACATTTAAAAATTTAAAGGAGCCAAGTTGCAGGGGGGCTATAAATCGGACACACGTGAACGTGGGGTTTCATTATTTTTTCTCTTTATTAGTGACTTACTGAGCTCCTCTTTTTTGTTGTGTTTTTTTGTTCATTTATGGTTTTTCCTTCTCTTTTTCAGTGGGACCGAACCAGTTTTCAGACATGAGCTTTGCTGAATTAAAACGCAAGTATCTTTGGTCAGAACCTCAGGTGGGTGTTATTCATTGTGACCAAATCTGAGTCTTTTCGCTCAAACCTTTGGAATCAGCTCATAGCCCGCTCGGCTTCCAGAGCGGTTCGGCCCCTCCCCAGCTGCAGCTGGGGAGCCCCCAGGTTCTTGGGGGATCCAGACATGTCAGCTCCCAGCAGTTCGTCAGTCCATGCTCATGGCCTCATGCAGACCCCAAACTTAGAGTTGCTGGAGAAAATACAGTTGCCCCTTAAAACTGCATTTCGGATAAACAACAAATAATATTTTAGCATAAGTATATCCTAAATATTGCACAGGACAGACACTACAGACTTAATCATCATTTATCTGAAATTCAAATTTGACTGAGTGAACTGTATTTTTATTTGCTAAACCCGCCTACCTTGTCCTAACTACTCCCAATCTGGGCTCCCAGAAGGACCTGCCATTTAGCATTTGGAACCAACGGGTAGAGGTGGGATGGTTCTGACAGCTACAGTCTTTCTTATTCTCTCTTGGTGATCCCACTTTAATTACATACTTTTCCATCAAAACGGTTTCTCTTCTTCCCCCTGAAAAAAATGTAATTCGTTGTTTCAGAATTGCTCAGCCACCAAAGGTAACTACCTTCGGGGTACTGGTCCCTACCCACCCTCCATGGACTGGCGGAAAAAAGGAAATTTTGTCTCACCAGTGAAAAATCAGGTATGCATGACAATCCCCACCTTTCCCCGCCACACACACCAAATAGCCACATCTTCAGGCAGTATGCCAGGAAGAAAAACTCAAAAGAATCCCAAAACACAGAGAGTATATCCCCAACTCTATTTTTTTTCTCATCATCTCTCTAGCTGCCTTCCTCTGAAAGGCTGGGAGGTCATTGTTTTTATGGATGGCTCTGGGGGATAAAAGCGTATTTCTTCACTGGGCTGAAGTTTACCCATCCCCCTTGTTCCACCCCACTGTGTAAAGTTCCCCGTTGGCCCTAGGTCTCTTCTACAGTCACCCAAAACATCACGTTCTCTGTGCCCTTCAGTAACTGCACACCGGGACCCCGTTCCTACTGCCCACACATCTTTTCTTCCCCGTCCTCCATACGCTGCACGAGGCACCAGGGCCCAGCCCCTCCCTGGCTGGCTGCTTTCCCACAAGGGAGGTGCAGGTGGTTAGTGAACAGAATGGAACCCAGCGTTTCAGACCTGTTCTCAAGAGCACCCCCACAGGGCACAGCATGCCTGGCAAGGGGAGTGGCGGCGTCTTCCCCGCACTCACAGAGGTGAGGACCCGGCCGCTGGCTGGAGGGTCCCAGCACATTGCTCTGTCCTGGAGAGTCTGGACCCACCCCTTGCTGTCCCCTGGAAGTGACAGTGCAGTGGCCTTCTTCAGGAAGATGCCGACCTCTCGATCCCAGGAAATACAGGTGAAGGTTTCCCTCCTGGAAGCACTTTGCTTTCCACTGAAACTCTCCATGAGAAACATTTTCTCCCTTTCCTTAAAGCCACATGGCACAGCTCCAAATCCTCCCAGGCTCACTGGGTTCCCAGAACCTGCCTAGTGATCTAGACGTTTAAACCAGCACCCGGAAGCCGAGACAAGTCTCCCCTCCCAGCAGTCGGAGGGGTAGAATGAAGTCAGCCCTCTGCCCCAAGCCCCAAAGGCAGCTTTTAGACCATCTGAGAATTCCACGACCGTTCAAAGCAACAAGCGTTAAATGTGGAAGCCCGAAACCTGCTCACCCTGTGGGCAGGTGAGAAGGGGAAGTCTGCCAAGAACGTTCCGGGTCCTTGTGTTAACTGACCCTCAGGCAGGACGGAGCCCCGGGGCGGAGGGGCCAGAACAAGGCGATTACCCTCATGGGTGTGTGTGGTCTCTCGCTGTAGACACCATGCGGTTACAGATACGGTGACCGGATCTGACATTAGCTCAACAGCCTTGAGGGATTCTCACTTTACAGAGGAGGAAGCGCTGAAGGTACAAGGCAAGCAGATGACAGAGGGCCCTTCCATCCAGGTCTCTGCTCAAGGCCAGTGCTGGCCACTCGGCCTTGCCCTGCCTCCTGCAGTGGTGGCCAAGCCCAGCCTCTGACCAGCCAGAGACGCTCTGACCAGGCCCTCCCTCCCTGCCGAGGGAAGGCTTTGAGAGGAAGAACTGGGGCCCGGGGTAGGGTGAAGGCTCTTTCCAGGGAGACAGCAGTGAGGACTCAACAAGGACAGTGAGGACGGGAATCTTAGGAGAAGTTTCAGAAGTAAAATATGGAAGACTGAACCAGCAAGGGGCAGAAAAGAGACCAAGATGCGGCTGAGAGAAAAACACAAACAACAGCTAATATTACGGAGCCCGTGGGGTAACTGCACGACGGGCAGGATCTCATCTACCCCTCTGACAAACAGCCCTGTGAGGCAAGCACGGCTGTTCCCACGTTACAAATGATGAGACCGAGGGTCAGAGTGGGCAGCAGCTCGCCCAGGTCGCACGGTGGGTGTGGGGCAGAGCTATGATTTGGACCAGGCTGGCAGGTTCCAGCGCCCGACTCTGAGCCCTCGGGAGGCGCCGGGAGGAAGGTGGCCGGGCAGCGGCAGTGACCGTGGCAGAGGACGGGGAGATGGACGGGTGGGGCAGGACACGCAGAGTCTGAGGGGTTTGGGGCATATACGGGTGGGATCATCTGGGAGACAGGGTGTCTGGGCCTGGGTGGAGGTGAGGGCTGAGCGTTTGGGGAGTTGTCAGTTTAACAGTTGGGACTGTGGGTGAGATTGGAGGTGGAAAGGTGAGAGAGAAGCTTCTAGAAACAGGACTCTGGCGAGTCCTTCTGTTGGAAGACAGTGGGAAGAAGACGAGCCAGCATAAGATTCAGAAGTAGAGGGACTTCCCTGGCGGTCGAGTGGTTAAGACCCTGCGCTTCCACTGCCGGGGCATGGGTTCCATCCCTGGTCGAGGAACTAAGATCCCGCATGCCAAAAAAAGATTCCGAGGAACAGAAGAGCACAGAGTGGGGTCGGAGGGAGGGCTCTGGCCGTGTAGGCCGGTGGGGGTTGGTAGCGGGGGCCCAGGAATGGGAGTGCACGGGCGCTCGTGAGCGGTGGCGGCCGCTGCTTCCCCTGTGCGAGCCTCGGCCTCCTCGTCTGCAACACGGGGAGAAGGATGCCGGCCTCGCGGGCCTCGTGAGGGTCAGAGTGGACAGTGTGGGCCAGGGCTTTGTCAGCTGAAGTCACGGGAGCCCGCGGGGTCCTGGTCCCTGACCTCCCTCCCCCTCCCCTTGGCCTCTAGGGCAGCTGCGGCAGTTGCTGGACCTTCTCCACCACCGGGGCCCTGGAGTCTGCTGTCGCCATAGCAACTGGGAGGCTGCCCTCTTTGGTGAGCGATCAGCCATGGTGCTGGGGGAGGGATGCGGGAGAGGGGTCACAGCTTCGCTCCAAGGCCTGATTCGGAGGGCCGGACCTGGGCCGTCAGGCTTCTTTGTGGCTTTTGCTGACACTGCCATTTCAGTTGGACTTCAGGTGTCCCAGCCTCACGGACATGCAGCGTGCAGACCTCAGCTGACACTTCAGAAGGAATGAGGCTTGTTGAGGAGATGGCCCAAGGGCTCATCCCTGGGTGGGTCGGGGTGTTCCTCGGTGTGGCCACCTGGGGCCTTCCGAGAGCAGAGCCTGCCTGGGAGGCAGCCCTGTAGGAACTGTGCCCCTCTCAAGCTGGTCACCTTCAGGCAGGGAAGAGCGAGCGGGGACCCCTGAGCCCCTGGAGTGAGGGGTGACTGCCCAGCCGCTGCCTCCTATGTGGGGAAGAGGGGCCGGCAAGGCTGGTGAGGGCCACCAGGAACCGGCTTGAGGGAAGGCCTGTCCCCTCCCCCTCCCATCTGCCACCACGGGACCCCAGGAACCGCACATACGTGCACACCGCCAGGGCCCCCCGCGCCCTCTCACCTGCCCGCTTGGCTGCCAGGCCGTCGCTGAGCTTCTCCCCGACAGGGGCTGGCTGCTGGGGAGGGCGGGGCCGCAGGCGTGGGTCGGCTCGGGAGGCACGGCGCTGGAGGCGCTCAGCTCACCGGGCGTGCGTTCCTCCCTCCAGGCCGAGCAGCAGCTGGTGGACTGCGCCCAGAACTTCAACAATCATGGCTGCCAAGGGTACGGCCCTGACCGGGGCGGGGGGTGGGGGCCCAAAGCCCCTGCTCATTCCCGGGGTCGCTTCTGTTGGGCCTCGTACGGGCGGGGCACTGCCACAGCCTCTGCCCTCCGTGGGAGCAAAATCGGCCCCGCTTGTGGAGGGGGAAGGTCACCTCACACGCCCAAGGTCCCTCAGCTGGAACGGGCAGAGCTGTAATGCAAGCCCAGGCCTGGCTGGTTCCAAGATCCGTCCTCATTCCCTGGTGTCACCCGGATTTCACCCCACAGCACACTTGGCCTCACCGGCCACCAAGGCCTCTGGCGAGTGGCCGAAAGAATTAATAGAACGAGAAGCACACCATCCTCCAAAACCAAGATCCACACACAGGTGTCTGGTTGGCCTTTCCACAGGTTCTCTAAAGCTCTAGCCACCCAGCTTGGCAGGCCGCGTCGAGGAGCTTTCCTGTAGATGTGGTGCAGGGTTCAGGCATAAAGGCTGCGTCTCTGCTGGGCCTGCTTTCCTGGCCCTTTTATTTATTATTATTTTTTTAATTTATTTTTTTGGCCATACCACATGGCTTGCGGGATCTTAGTGCCCCGACCAGGGATCAAACCCGAGTCCACAGCAGTGAAAGCACCGAGTCTTAACCACTGGACCGCCAGGGAATTCCCCCGACCCACGGGTTCTTAGGGATTTACCCACATTTCTCTGTGTCTCCAGCCCTCATCTCCTCCTCACGTGCTCTGAGACCTTTCCTCGGGATGAGCGGCCTTCCCAGAACATACGTGTGTAAAGCCAGGCCCTCGTGCTCCCCTAGGGCACGCTCCCAGCCTCGCCTCCGCTCGCCTACCTGCGGCCCATCCCTCTCTCGGGCGAGTCCTGGGAAGGCCCGGTGCTCCACCTGCTCTGACAGAGCCAGCACGAGGGCCTCCACGCTCGGGCTGCGTCTGGGAGTCGGGGGTGAAGCCACGGCCTAGTTGCTGATCCACCATCATATCATGGTTAGCCTCATGGCTTTTTGGTCTCTTTCCTCTTTGCAACTTATAAACACCACCCATCACAAGTCTGAAAGGGCATCCTGGGGCCCCACCATTTTTCCGAGGGATCTGTTTGCTTTGGTTTACTTCATTTTTCCGTTCATTCAGCAAGTACGACAGCACCTGCCCGATATGTAGGCACGAGGGATACAGCAGCTGATGTTCTAGCTGTGCCGCAGGTGGGGTGGTGACAGATGCTCTGGACAAAACCCAGAAGGGACAGGAGATTGATGGGGAGTCGTGACTGGAGAGCTGTTGAGTCTCCTTTACTCCAGGAGGCAACACGAGGTGAAAGATCCACCTTTGGAACCAGATCCTGGCTGTAGCTCTGGGGCCCTGGGCAAGTTGTTCAGCCTTTCTGAGCTTCAAGAAGTAACAGCAGCTACCTCCCGGGGTTCTGAGGGGTTGGAAAGTCATGTTTGCAGAGCGCCTGCCCAGGCGGGGCCCAGTGGACACGGTGGTGGCAACGACAGTCAGCTGGGCAGATCCTGTCGGGTCCTGTTCCTGACAGAGCGAGGGGCCTGGCTTCCAGAGGTCTCTGTCCCACGGAAGCATGTGTGGCTGGACCTTGGACCCTCCTTGATAGCCTCTTCTGAGGCTGTTGAGCTGTATCCTGAGGCCGGGCAAACAGGGTGGCATTGCTAGCCCCTCAGAGACTTCTCTGCCCCTGGGATATGCCCCAACCACGGCCTCCCAGCCCTGCCAGGGCAAACGTCTCCAAGCTCCAGCCCCTGCAGGCCCCGCCTCCATCGGGGCCAGTCTCAGGTGGGCACAGATGTGTATGCTTCTTGCAGGGGTCTCCCCAGCCAGGCCTTCGAGTACATCCGGTACAACAAGGGCATCATGGGTGAAGACACCTACCCCTACAAAGGCCAGGTAACTCTGGGCAGCCTGGGCTCTCTCTTCTTGATCTGCAGTGCTCCCCGTCTCCGTTCTTGTCCCAGCCTTGGAACACATCTCTTCCCCTGCACCCCTCTGGAGGACCCCCTACTTCCACCTGGGTTCTCAGAATTGTCTCTTGCAGCTCACTTTTTCCCCTCCTCTACTTGCCCAAGCCCCAGCTGTCAGCCAGCCGGGGGGACTCTTAACGCCCTGTGTGTGGCAGCACCGTCAGGCTGCCCCGCCCTGCCGTGAGTGCACCGGGACGCCATCTGTTGGCTTCTTCCCTCCCCGTTTGTGCGGACAGCACTCCTGGGCCCATACCCACTTTGTCCAGGGCCTCCCCTGCCATCACCTCAACCCCGCCTGTGCACGGCTGGACACCTCGACTGTCCCACAAACCTGGGATTCCTCCTGTATCTCCCCTCTCAGCGATGGGAGGACCACCCTTACCTAAAATGTCTTGGCGGCCAGTGGTCCGTTCTTGGGGCAGCCCCCTGACCCAGACCTCACCTCAGTCAGCCTTCTGACCATCTTAGACCTTCTCGCATCTGCTCCTTTGGTCCATTCTGTGTCCCTGCCTGCACTCGGACCTTGGCTTCCCTTCACCCTAGATCACTGTGGGTGCCCTCTCCTTGCCCCACCCACCCACCCAGGGGCCGCCAGAGTGGCCTCTGAGACTCAGCTCTGACCACACCCTGCCTTGTTCAGAACTCTTCAAAGGCTCCTCTGGGCCTGCAAGAGAAACTCCAGACTCTTCGGCCTGCCTTTCGAGGCCTGCCCTCCCCCCACGTCGCACAGATCTGTCTTCCCAGTCTTGGCTTTTACTTCACTCTCCCCTTCATAAGCCTTCTGCTCCCACCCATCCACTTGCTAGTTCCTAAACGTCAGGTCCTGCCTTCTTGTCATCCTGACCGTCTCTCCCGCCTCAGAAGGGTTTGATCTTCCCTCCGTGTGTCCTCTGCGCCTGCCTCTTGCAGGTGAAGTTCCTTGGGCTGAGACTGGCCCCTTCCTTGTGCTCCCAGCAGGTGCCATGCGAGCCCACCTCTGCCAAAGCCAGCACAGGACCCTTTCCTCCCACTAGACTGTGAGGTCCTTGAGGGCAAGGAGGCCTCTAGTTCTCTCATAAGTGACCTCATCACCCAGGCCCTGGGACCTGTAGCTTTTGCTTTATAAATGTTATCAAATTGCATAGGGGAGGACTGAAGTCTCAGCCCGGGGCCGAGCATCCCTAACCTGTATCCCATGACCTTTGCCACCCTGAACAGGATGGTGACTGCAAGTTCCAGCCCAGTAAGGCCATTGCTTTTGTCAAGGATGTAGCCAACATCACAATGGTGAGTACCGATCCTTCTCTCAGATAGGGAATGTGTTCTGATCAGGAGGCCAGTCTCCACTGCCGTCAGATGGCCAATGGGCACTGCAGGGCAGCCTTTCTGAGCAGCACATCACTTTGATTCAAGAGTTTTGATTATCCTTGAATCTCAATCACCATGACGGGGGCAGGATGGAAGACAGGAGGGAAAGAGCAAGAGACTAGCATTCGGGTGCTCTGGTTCTGACCTGGGTCTGTACAACTCTTCCATCTTGTGTTTCAGTTTTCTTGTCTGTAAAATGCAAGAATGAATCCCCATCCTACCAAAGAGGATGTGAGGATGTGTGTGATATCGGGTATGTGTGTGAGAGATTGAATGTGAATGCACAGAGAATGAATGTGTGTCAGGATAAACCAGGTTATGCTGCAGGAACAGCTCCAAACTCTGGATGGCTTAAAACAATCAGATTTTATGTCTCATTCGTGTGACATGTCCCTTGGTTTAAGCAGGGCTGTTCTCTGTGTCATCGGCTTCACTCCAGGACCCAGGCAGATGGAAAGAGTGGTAAATTATGCACTGGCTCTTAAACCCAAAACAAGTTACACAGCCCCACCTAACCTCAAGTAGATGGGGAAGTCCATAACTTCAGTACAGTACAAACCATACTCTGTCCGAGAGGGAGCTGGAGTAAGTGTGAACAGCCCTCGTGACTCCACTGTTGGCATGTTTGCAAGCATGGGCGAACATGCGTACAGAGTGAAAGAGTATTTCCACGGGTGTGTGTAGGTGTGACGTGCGCTGATGAGAGCAGGCTGAGGGTGTGTGCCCACAAATGTGTGCGTAAATCACAAACGTGACGACTGTGTAATGACAGTAGCTACTGTTTAATTAAAGCATGTGCCATGCAGTCAGCAACAGTAATGAAGTTTATGGAGCGCTGACAGGAGCTATACCAACCACTTAACATGTATTATCAAGACAACCCTAGGAGATAAATGTCATTATCACCTTCATTTTATAGGTGAAGAAAGGTTCAGAGTGGTTAAGTAACGTGCCCAAGGCCACAAAGCTAGAAGTGGAAGCTGGATTTGAACGGAAACCATGTCATTCCAAAATCTACACCCTGTATTTGGGATGTTTCTGACTATGGTAGATTTATCTTCAAACAAGAGCCAGTGGGCTTCCCTGGTGGCGCAGTGGTTGAGAGTCCGCCTGCCAATGCAGGGGACGCGGGTTCGTGCACCGGTCCGGGAAGATCCCACATGCCGCGGAGCGGCTGGGCCCATGAGCCATGGCCACTGAGCCTGCGTGTCTGGAGCCTGTGCTCCGCAACAGGAGAGGCCACAACAGTGAGAGGGCGCGTACCACAAAAAAAAAAAAAAAAAAAAAAAAAGAGCCAGTTTTTCTTAGATACACTCACCAAGGGCTGACTGACTCTGGCCCATTCGTATCCCATTAGGCAGTGAACCGGGAGCTCAAAGGTATCCCTTTTGCCTGGTGCCCAGGAGAGCCTTGCCCATGGCACCTGCAGGGCCCTAAGAGCGGGCCAGCACTGGCGTCCAGCCCTCCTTGGCAGGGCCGAGGGATGGCCACAGGAACGGCTGGCCCCACGACATGCTCCCCCTCTAGGTGAGCAGGCCTCCGTGCCTTCCTAGTCTCATCTGCCCTGACCTGTCTGTGCTCACAAGGCCTTTTCTGAGCACAGGGAAGGGAGCGGCTTGCTAATCAGGCAGCCGTTTGCTCTTTGCAGCTGTGTCACTGCCTGCCCCTCAAGGGAGGTAGGACAGAGGAAGGGCTGGTGCCCCAGCCCCTCCAGCCTGACCCTCCCTCAGCAGAGCCCTGGCCTCAGCTCACCCTCATTTTGACTCCCTAAGTCTCCAGCCAGGGGAATGGCCTCCTTAGCTCACGCTAACCCAGTGGGTCCCAGCAGGGATGCTTTAAGAAATCCTGCTGCATGGGACCCACCCTGGAGATGCTGATGTAATCGTCTGGGGCACAGCCTGGGCACTGGGATTTTGTAAAGCTCCCCTGGTGATTGCAACTGCTGCTCTCGCCCAGTCTCCGCAGCTGTTCCAAAGCCGCAGCCTCCAGGAAGCCTCTGACTTCCTCATGCCACCTTCCCCATTGGACGGGGATGCATCCTCCTCGGGCACACACACACATTTCTACCACCGTCTGGGCCTTATCTGCTCATGGACTTCTAACCCCTGAGTTCTACCAAAAAAAGCTCCTTAGACTGGCGTTGTGGGTGCAGGGGTTCCTGCGGGTGGGAGTGGGGGAGTCACACCCATCTCTGGAGCCCCTGGTCCATGGGAGGGCCTTGGCATGTGGCTGTGAGTGAGCGAGTGAATGAGTCCACGCTGTACCCTGGGCCTGACCCGGAAGGGTGCAGGATTCCCTCGGAGCAGAGCAAGGAGGGGGAGAGAGAGGAGCACGCGGTCCAGCCCAGCAAAGACGAGGGAGGTCACAGGGGAGCCAGGATTTGGGAGGAGGGGCCCACAAGCCAAATAAAAAACCCCAAGGATCCCGGCCATTCAGGCGCAAGAGAGCAGGGGCCCCCATACCAGCCCCCAATACCCAGGGCTTGGCTCTGCTGTAAGGAAGGGCAGCTCCCCCTTGGCGGCAGCTTTTTGGCCTAAAACAGACTTCTCTTCCCTCCACAGAATCATTGCTTTGAGCCTCTGTCCCCTACTTTGGGGCAAAGGGCCATATTTCACAAGTGGGGTGGGGAGGTGGCAGAGGCCACGTGTGTCCACCTGTCGGCCCCTCTGTCCACAGAACGACGAGGAGGCGATGGTGGAGGCGGTGGCCCTGTACAACCCTGTGAGCTTTGCCTTCGAGGTGACTGATGACTTTCTGATGTACGAAAAGGGTGTCTACTCCAGGTGAGTCAGGGAGGGGCTGGGTGGGCATTTCGCACCTTCCGCCAGTGCATCAGCCTGCAGCCCTGAAGGTCAGGATCCACGGTCCCCAAGTAGGAGGAGGAGAGGCGGTCCCATGGTTGGTCAGGGCTGGGGTCCCGGCCCCCATTTGAGCCCAGAGCTCACCCTTCCTCAGCAGAAGAGCTGCCTCTCGTGATGAAAACCTGTGTTCAGAAATCTGAAGATGTGAAATAGAAAATGGCTGCTCTCAGACGCCAGAATCCCGTGCTGAAGCCTCCACCGCAGGGTTTTTCAGGAAGCCCGAGTTCTCTAACACTGGTGTCGTCTCACCCAGGCCTCTTGCCTGTTTTGCAATATGAGCTCAGCCACTTCCGGTAGCATCTCCTTCATGGCCTCTTGTCATCTGGCCATTCCCAAGGGCGGTGTTCTCCAGGGCTTTCTCCTCAGCCCTCTGCCCTCTTCTCACACACTCCTTGAACTCCACGGCCAGCTGTTTGCTGAGAAATTCCAAGTCTCCATCCGCCAGCCTGGTCTCTGCTGGGCATTAGACCCACAGATCTAAGGGCCTCGCCGCAGCATCAAGCTGGATGGCCCGTGGAAACCTGAGATCCTGCATGTTTCCGTCCCTCACCAGACGCTGCCCCATTAACACTGCTCAGAAGCGTGCTCTCCGCTCCCTCCCCGTGTCTCTGCCCACCGTTGCCTCCTTCCTGCTCTGTCCTTGTGCCCTCACCACTGGTCCATCCTCCACTCGGAGCCAGAGTCAGCCTTCGGGAACACCCTTCTCACCACTCCAACTTCTCCATCCTCCAGCATCTCCCCACCATCTCGTGTCTTAGCTCGGCCGGGGAAACCCTCGTGATCTGGTCCTTCTTTCTCCAAGCTCATCTCCCGTCAAAGCCACCCACGTCCTCCCTGTTCCACCCCGTGCCCCTGCCCCACTGAAGAGCTCATAGTTTTATGCGAGTCCCCTGCCTCCCCAGGGAAGCCTTGCCCCTGCCCCACCCCGTTCCCACCTGGTTGGATCCCCTCCCTCGGGCTCCTGTCAGCTCCCCAGCCGTCACAGCCCTCGGTCCATTGTATGGAAGTAGCCTCTCTGCCATCCTCCCTGCCGAAGGAGGTGTCCTAAATCCAGGAGCAGAGTTTTGCACGCGGCTGGTGTCTCGCACCTCGTCCCTGGGCCTGGCACATACCAACAACTCAGTTACACGTTGGCTCAGTGATCACACGACCACTGCAGTTTGTCCTCTTGAAATTTTCAGAGTTTCCTCATGAGAACTAGTTCACTAGCTAAAATGAGAAACCTGTGTAATTGTCCCAAATACAAGGTAATCTTAAAATTACATACAGTGGCAACAAAGCAATGCCATGTGAAACTCCAGCCGGACACTGTTGCCCTCAGAAGGTGCAGCAGGAGGGCTGCTCTCTCCTGTTATGAAAGAGGCATCAGAAAGCGTCAGGTGTCAGAGCTGGGCCAGCACCACGCTAAATCTTGCTCCTTTGGGTGAGAAGAACCCAAGGGGCTGAAGAGGATACTTTTCTTTCCCTGTGACTAAACGAGAGTTAATTCACCACCTTAAATGCCTCCCAGTCCCCGCTTTGGGAAACCTTGCTCTAATTCACTTGTTGGATGTGATCGAATCACCTTTTTTTTTTTTCTTTGGCTGTGCTGCATGGCAGGCCGGATCTTAGTTCCCCTACCAGGGATCCAACCCACGTCCCCTGCAGTGGAAGCAGAGTCCTAACCCCTGGACCGCCACCGAAGTCCCACATATTTTCCATATTTTCAAGCCTCTTTCATTTTCATTTTCCAGTACTTTCTGTCATAAAACTCCAGATAAAGTAAACCACGCAGTTCTGGCTGTTGGGTATGGAGAAGAAAATGGGATACCCTATTGGATCGTGAAGAACTCTTGGGGTCCCCAGTGGGGAATGAAGGGGTAAGCACCTTCCAGGTCCTGTGTGCTGGGAGGGGGCGTGATTGCTCAGGTCTGGGGGCCCTCGGAGTGTGCGGGCGGGGGGTCTCCTCCACCTCAAATGTGGCTTCCAGGAAGGGGCTGCTAAACAGAGCCTTTAGCCCGGGCCAGGAAGAGGGGAGCGTGAGGATGTAACCCTCACACCCCCAAGAAGCCTCCAGCAGCCCCTCTCCCATCCTGGACCCCAGATTTTGATGACTCTGTGTCCGGAACAGGAGTCCATTTGGCTCAGGAGGTTCTATGACCACCACTAGGAAACAGTTCACAACACAGGACCCTGCTGGGACTAAGCCAGCGTCTGGGAGGGCCTGTGGGTGAGAAATCCAAGCACCAAGTTTACCCGATGGCTGACAGCCCCTCCTTCTAGAATGGGGCTGGAATCAGGTGGCCTGCGTACATACCTTGATGGGACTTTGTCCCTGTCTCTTCTCTCAGACTCCGTGTCCTCATCTGAAAAGGGGGTTTTCATCTGTTACCCGAGGGGTCCCAGTGGTGATTAAATAACTACGTGAGGGCCTACGCAGGGCTAAGAACGGGGCCCTCAGCAAACTCTGGCACAAGTGAGATATGGACAGAATAAGGAAGAGAGTTCAGGGGGCAGCCAGGTGGAGGGAAGGAGAAGTTACTCACAGGTCAGAGATTTCCTGGTGGTCAGATAAACCCAGAACTGCTGTTTTGTGAGTAAGTTGAGAGGGCCTAATCCCTGGAGTCAGACCTTGGTTCCAGAAGGGCCTGTGGAGAGGAAGCCGCCAGCCAGGCCTCAGCCCCTCCCTCTGTGCAGGTACTTCCTCATGGAGCGCGGGAAGAACATGTGCGGCCTGGCAGCCTGCGCCTCCTACCCCATCCCCCTGGTGTGAGCTGGGGCGGCAGCAGCAGCAGCAACTGGTTGGTGGATGGAGGGAGGACCGGGCAGCCTGGGGCCTAAAACCCTGCCCTGGAGGAAGTGAGCGGTGGGAGACCCCCCCACCAGGGCCCCGAGCCTGGAAACCCAAAGAAAACGACGAAGAAGAATTCCATGGAGCAACAAGCCCACACACGTCTTCTGACACAGAGGTCACCACCAGCCATGTGCCTGAAGCATGGTTTTTAACTGACTCAGCGCCACATGGACCAAGAATGTTTTCTTCCCAGAAGGGCTGCTTTTCCCATTTGGAGGAAGCTCCACTGACAGTCTTTTCTGTGGTCTTTATTGAATAAACCTTCAGTGAGCACCTCCCTGAGTCAGGCTGTGTGCTGGGGCCTGGGCCTGCCTCCGGGCCCTGGCCTCCTAAGAGGGAGGCACCAAGGGGTGGCCGGCTCTCTGGCTGGGAAGATGGCGTGGGTGCTGGCGCCACTGTCTCCCAGAGGCGGGACCTGGGAGGAAGAACAGGTTTCATTTGAGATCTTGACTGTCCCCACATGGGGAAAGAGGAGCTAGTGTGCCAGGCCCTGGCAGAGCCAGGATTCAAACCCACGACACCGGCCTGGAAGCCTGTACTTCTCCACGGGGCCTCCCCCGTCCCAGCTTCCTGCTCCTACTGCCCTGCCCCTCCGCCCGGGACTGCCCCCATCTCTTCCTCCCCTGATGCTCCCACCACCTCCACCATCCCTTCTCTTGAGAAAATGGTGTCTCCATCCAGAGGGTGGCCGTGGAGTCTCTGCTGCTTCCCGATGCCTCTGGGCTCCAGGGAGTAGGGTCTGTGGCACGAGTTGGTGCTGTTTGTCCTACAGTTCACAGATGTACCTAATAAGAAAATCTTTCATGTCATTTGGGCCTCGAGAGCTAACGGCTTGAGACTTGTTATTTTCATGACAAGCCCTATTTAGAGAATGCAAGTGTGGTTTAATCTGTTACAAAAGTCTAGTAACATAAGACACCACAACAATAAGTCAAGACAAAAACCAATCACCTTAATAAACAGTAATCGGATGAAATTCAATCTATTTTATTCTAGTTAATCTACTCTAGATTTTTAAAAAACACGAACATGAAGTGAAAGCATAATTCCTTAATACAATAAAGATCCCCAAACCCGGGGCAGTGGTGTGAAAGGGGTTCCATTAAAGGCAGACAGGGAACAAACAGGCCCAAGATCAGTACAGTCGCTCAACATCAGTCTGGAAGGTCTGGCTGCTGTGGTGAGGAATAAACCACATTAGTATGTGCGGACGGTATACCAATGTGGCTGAAAACCGTCAAGAGGATATACATCAAAACTCAGAACGAGTGAGAAGAGTTCAGAGAGTGGCTGCTTATCAGATACAGACACAAAAAAATCAAAATCCTTCAACAAAACTCAGAAGAAAAGTATTTTACACTGTAGCAACAAAACTAGTAGCCAGGAATAACCACACACACACACACACACACACACACGTCCTACATGAAGAAAATGATTAAATTACTAAAAACTGTAAAGGAAGACTTGAATAAATTGAGAAGCATACCATATTCTTGAATTTGAAAGATTAACATAAATAAATTGATTCTAGCCCAAAATAAAAATACGGGATTGGTACATTTCCATCTAAAATCCCAATATAATTTTTTGATACTTTCTATTTACCTGGGGGAGAAAAAGCCCAAGATGGATTTTATAACTGAGTAATGAAAATGGATTTTTTCACATATCAAAATGTATAAAATGTCAACACTTAAAAGAGTGTATCAGTTAAGAGTAGACTAACACCCAGATTATGAGAATTCTATACATAAGTAGCAGACACAAATCAATTTCTACTATTCAATAAAAGGAGCTAGGAAATTGGACAGTATTTGGAAAAACAGCTTAACCTGAATCTTCACTCAGCATTATATCATTTAAGTAAAGTTTTAAAATTTTTTTAAGTTTTAGATTTACAGAATTATTGTGAAGATAATACAAAGAGCTTCCATATATCCCACACCCAGTTTTCTCTATTATTACTATCTTGCAATAGTATGTAATATTTGCTGAAATTAATGAACCAATATAACCAACGTGTTATTAATAATCATATTTTTATTAAGTCATTCGTTTTAGAGAAAGATTCTGGATGAGGTTTCAGAGAAATTCAAATTACCACAGAGAAGCAAATAACCATTTTCAAAATTAACCTCATCTGGGGGGTTTCCTAGCTCATTACAGATTATGGGCTTGGACTTGGATGCAGGCTTTCTCTCCACAAGCTCCCAGGATGTCTGCAGCCCTCAAACCCACAAGGTGATCATGGATCTCCTATAAAGGGGGCTTGCAAAGGCCAATTCCCACCCTCTCCTTCAGTTACCAAACAACTACTGAGTGGCAGCTGTTTGCAACTCCCCTCTTACACCAGGCTCCTGGAAGAATACAAAGATGCTCCCGGCATCCCCGTGGGCATGACTGTTGTGCAACAGGAAAATGACCCATGCCTTGGTGCTGTTTGGATTTAAGGTTCTATCCAGGCAAGGTTCTATCCAACTGGGATGAAAACATTCCAAATGCACTTGAACTCCAAGGATCCAGAAGACAGTCTGGTACAGGGCAGAAGCTGCCTCTCATTTGTCTCAGTCACCATCTCTTGACCCCTCCACATAGGCCCTGTGCTGAGGTCTAGAGATCTGAGGTTTACGGTACTCATCTTTGGCCCTAAGGAGCGCCCATGCTGGGGGAAAAGACAACAAAGTAAAAAATAGAACAACAACAACAAAATATAAGGTCCAAAGATGAAAAAGAAATGTACCACAGGAAAACCACAGATCAATGTTCCTTATCAATATAGATGCAGAAATCCTCAATACAATGCTGCAGGCAAACCAAATCCAGCAACATGTAACGAAGACTACACACCGTGGGTTTATCCCAGGAATAAAAATTTGGTTCCACATAAGAAAATCAATGTAATATACCATATTAATACAATATGGTATATTAATAAAGGACAAAAACGGCATCTCAATAGACACAGAAAAAGCATTTGGAAAAAAAAAACCACCACCCCTTCATGATAAAATAGTCAACAAACTAGGAATAGAAGGGAACAACTTCAACCTGATAAAGGGCAGCTATGAAAAACCCACAGCATCACTCCTATGCACGGTTGTATCAGAAGTCCTACCTGGGGCATTTAGGCAAAAAAAGAAATCAAAGCATCCAGAATGGAAAGGAAGAAGTGAAACCATCTCTGTTTGCAGATGACATGATCTTGTATCTAGAAAATCCTGCTCTTTGAGGAAGATGCAGACACAGCTGCAGCCCCAGTGGAGCCCTGGGCTGCCCACTTCTGCTCCTGATTCACAGCTGTGTTGTTCCACCTGAGGAACAGTCTTTCAGGAAGCCGTGACGCAGCCATGGCTTTTAAAGATACCGGAAAGACACCCACGGAACCAGAGGTGGCAATTCACCGAATTAGAATTACCCTAACCAGCCACAGTATAAAATCTTTGGAGAAGGTGTGTGCTGTCCTGATCAGTGGTGCAAAGGCAAAGAATCTCAAAGTGAAAGGACCAGTTCAGATGCCTACCAAGACTCTAAGAATCACTACAAGAAAAACTCCTTGTGGTGAAGTTTCTAAGATATGGGACTGTTTTCAGATGAGGATCCACAAGCAGCTCACTGACTTGGCACAATCCTTCTGAGATGGTTAAGCTGATTACTTTCACCAGTACTGAGCCAGGAGTCAAGGGTTGAAGTCACCACTGCATATGCTTAAATCAATTATTTTGAGAAATTATGTTGTTTAAAAAAAGAAGAAAAAAAAATCCTATGGAATTCACATACACAACACAGAGACTACTGAAGTTAATAAACAACTTCAGCAATGTTGAAGGATATAAGATGAACACACAAAGCCAACTGCATTTCTATACACTAGCAATGAACAATCCAATTTACAACAGAATCAACAAGAATAAAAAACTTAGGAAAGAATTTAACAAAAGATGTGTAAGACTTGTACAATGAAAACTATAAAACATTATTGAAAGAAATTAAAAGTGATCTAAATAAATTGAAAAACATCCTATGTTCGCGGATTTAAAGACTTAATATTGTTCAGATGGCAATACTCCCAAAACTGATCTACAGATTCAACACAATCCCTATTAAAATCCCACGTGGCTTCTTTGCAGAAATTGACAAGCTAAAATTCCCATGGAAATGCTAGAGACCCAGAATGGCCAAAACAATCTTAAAAAGGAGAAGCAAATTTGGAGGTCTCACTTATCCCAATTTTGAAACTTACTACAAAGCTACAATAAAATAAAGACATTGTCGTACTGACATAAGGATAGGCACAGATCAATGGGACAGAATTGAGAGTCCAGAAAGAGACCTATACATTTGTGGTTAATTTTCAACAAGGGTGCCAAGACAATTCAATGGGAAAAAAATAATCTTTTTAACAAATGGTGCTGGGACAACTGGATATCCTCAGGCAAAAGAATGAAGCTGGACCCTTACCTAACACCACATATAAAAATGAACTAAAATGGTTCATAGACCTAAATGTAGGAGCTAAACTATAAAACTCTTACAAGGGGCAAATCTCCATGATCTTGGATTTGGCAATGGTTTCTTAAATATGATACTAAAAGCACAGGCAACAGAAGGAAAAACAGATAAATTGGACTTTATTAAAGACTTTTGTGCTTCAAAGGACACCATGAAGAAAATGAAAAGACAGCCCACAGAATAGGAGAAAATATTTGCAAATCAAGTGTCTGGTAGGGATTGAGTATTAAGACTAAAAAACTACGTCTCAACTATAAAAACACAAATAACCCATTTTTAAAATGGTTAAAAGATTTGAATAGACATTTCTCCAAAGAAGATGTACAAATCACCAGTAAGTACACGAAAAGGCATTCAACGTCATTACTCAATAGGTAAATGCAAATCAAAACCACACTGAGATACCACTTCACAGCCACTAGGATGGCTATAATCAAAAAGATGGACAATATTAAGTGTTGGAGGATGTGGAGAAACTGGAGCCCTCATACACTAGTGATGAGAATGTAAAATGTTGCAGTCACTTTGGAATAGTTTGGCGGTTCCTCAAAAGTTAAAAACAGTATTACCATGATGTCCCAGCAATTCCACTCCCAAGAGAATTGAAAATATATGTCCACACAGAAACGTGTACATGAATGTTTATAGCAGCATTATTCATAATTACCGAAGTGTGGAAATAACCACATGTTCATCATTTGACAAAAACATAATGTGGTGTACATACAGTGGAATGTTGTTCAGACGTCAATAAAAAGGTGAT